AGTAGACCAAAATATCGCTAATATTAATACTACTAGATCTATCTAATCTACTATATCTATTAAGTAGATACTAGATAATGGAGCTAGTGCGTATATCTACTACGATCGAACTCTATTCCGAAATCTTACTAGTGTATCTAACACCTATATTAAATAGAGTAATATAGGAATACTACTACTAGTAATAGCTAAAAGAGAAGTACTAATTACGTTTACTAGCACCAGCAGATTAGTAGTGCTAAAAGAAGTACTCCTTATACCAGACTTTTAAGTTAATCTATTAAGTCTCTATTAAGCAGTTTAAAAAGGAGTAGAATTCTAATTTACTAAGAACTATAGTCTAATTACTTATTCTAGTAAGGTACTAGCTAAGAGATAATACGCTTAAAAGATCGCGATCTTTACTACGATTAGCGATATCTATTAAACTAATTAGATCTAGGCAGAGATTATTAACTTAGTACAACTAATTAATCTATTAGACTAGCTAAATTCATTATCTAATATATCGGATCTATCTAAACAATTAGATCTATTAGAACAGCTTAATTAATCAAAATCTATCAATTAGAATAATTAGATATCTCTACTATACTAACGTTTCGGCCATATTAGAAAAATAAGCTTAAATAAGCTTCGTGAAAATACTAATAGTATTAAATTAAATACTAAGACTAGTAACCTATTTAGCAATTGCGAGATATGCTTAAAAAGTAAATTTACTAGTAAAATAAGCAGAGATCCAATCTTAACACTAGTTAATAATTTTAGTGATATTATCTACTGCGATCTAGAAGGGCCTATTAAGCTAAAAATAAATAAGGGCTATAGATACTACATAACCTTTCTTAACTACTATACTAAGTATCTAGAAGTCGATCTTCTTATATCTAGATTAGAGCTTATAGCACTAGTTAAAGCTTTTATTAAATAAGCTAAGGTATAGAATTTAAAGTAGATTAAGCTTATCCAATTAGATAATACGCTAAATACGAAGCATCTGCAGAAGCTTTTAAATACAAAAGGTTTTAATCTCTAATTTACCCCTCTATTTAATCTAGAAGGCAAAGGTAGAGCCAAACAGATTAATTAAACTCTAATTAATAAGATTAGAGCTCTACTATTTAAATCTAAAATACTAAATATGCTATAGACAGAAGCCTTACTCTTAGTAGTATATCTATATAGTAGCACGCTATATAGTTCTATTAGCTTTTAAACACTATTTAAAGCTACATATAGATATAAGCTAAATATTAGCAATATTAAAATCTAGGGATCTCTAGCAAATTAAAAAGAGCTAAAAGGATGTATTAGCAAACTTAATTCTTAAGTCTAGCTATACTATCTTACTAGCTATCTTAGTAGTAATCTATATTAACTTATTAATCTAAAGTCGAATAAGATTATAACTACGAGCGATGTAAGAATACTTAAAGAAGTATTTAATAATTAAGCTCACGATTACGAATCGCAACTTAAAATCGATTAAACAATTAAGTAAGAAACTAATTAAAATCTCTATCTAAAGAGAGATTAGATAAAGACGTTAAAAATTAATTAAAATATTAATTAATCCACTAATTAATCCACTAATTAATAGAGAACAGTTAGAAAGAATCTAATTGTTCTAATTAAGAATAGAGCTAGAACAGCCGTATTAGCTCTATCTACTAAAGTTTCTATAGAGAACAATATCCTTGAGAAGATCTTATTTACTTTTAAGGATATAACTAATCTAAAAAACTACGCTTAAGTCCTTAAACACTCTAATAAGGATTAATACCTATTAGTAATACAGAAAGAGCTAAATTAACTACAGAAGAATAACACCTAGACGCTCGTGCCAAGGCCTACTAGCTATCTAGTTCTTAAAGGTCGTTAGGTACTTAACTAAAAATACTAATAAAATAACAACTATATCTTTAAAGCTCGTTAGATAGCAAAAGGATTTTAATAAGAATTTAGCGTTAACTATCAAGAAACGTTCACTAATACTACTAGGCCTAATCTTATTAGATTGCTACTAGCGATAGCTACACCTTAAGACTAGATTATTTAAAGCTTGGACACTAAATAAGCTTTCCTAAATGCTCCTATTAATACTACGATATTCATTAAGCAACTAGAAGGATTTTTAGATCTACGATACCCTTAGTACGTCTACCTACTTAATAAGGCACTGTACGGATTAAAATAAGCTAGTAGATAATAGCAGAAGCTACTAGTAAGCCTACTAGGCTAACTAGAATTTTAATCTCTATCTATTAATACAGCTATATATATCAATTGCGATTAGAAGATTATAATCGCTACTTACGTAGACGATCTACTTATATTTAGAAAAAAACAGTAAAAGATTAAGAATCTATTCCGTAATCTATTAGATATATCAGATCTAGAGATTAATGATCTAGGTAATATATCTAAGTTTCTTAGTATCTAAATTATTAGATCAGATTAATTAATCTATATTACTTAAGAGAGTTATCTTTAAAGGCTACTTATCCGTTTTAATAAAGAGAACGTCAAACTAAGGTAAATACCTCTTTAATATAGCATAAAGCTTAGCAAAAACGATTAGATAGCGATAGTAAAAGATACTTATCTATTTTAATAATAAATTTGCTCTCTAATCTACCTATCTACTTTTACTCGGCTAGATATTACTTACGCAGTTAATCTTCTATCTAGATTTATAGCTAATCTAAGTCTAGAGCATTTTAGTAGTCTTAATTACCTCTAGGGATATCTATCTTAATTACAGTAGATTAGACTACTCTACTAACTTAATGCTAACTTCTAAGCTACATCTATTAAGTTAGATTAATCTATATTAGTTAGATTAGATTAGATTAAGCTAATTAGATCTACAGATATAGATTAGGGCGGCGATCTTAATAGTTAAAGATTTACGATAGGATATATATTTTTACTTTAACTAAATCAGAACTACTATATAATTTTATAGCTATTAAAGCTATAACTAATAGTAGCTCTATTAAGCGCAGAAGCCGAATTTATAGCACACCGCGAATGAACTAAATAGAGTATCTATCTAATCTAATATATTAAAGAGATTAAATAACTATTTAATATACTATTAGATAGAAGTATTATAATATACTCTAATAGCTAGAGTGCGATCTAGCTATCTAAAAATCCTACCTACCACGCTAGAACTAAATATATTAATACTTAATACTATTTTGTGCGTGAGAAGGTAGAGACTAAACAGATCTAGCTATAATATTAAAATACTAGCTGCCTACTAGCTAATTATCTTACGAAGGTAATAAACGCTGAGAAGATTCGAGATTTTCTATTACAAGCAAATCTAATAGATATATCTTAGATCTTAGCTGCCTAGCTTAAAGGGGCGTGTTAGAGATATAAGCTACTTAGCTAATCTCTGATAAGATCGATCTATTAATTGACTAGATCGCTATACTCTAGCGATCTATACTATTATACTACTAGTGGATTACGAGTGTATTAGTAGCGTAAGAGATAAATAAAGATTACGTGTATATAACGTAATCTATCGCTACTAGCTAGTATAAATACTAGTAATAAGAATACTAGATAGAAAGTAGAGTAGATTGCATAGAGTAGACTACTAGTGCAGAATAACAAGATAAGATCAGATTAATCCAATTCTTTAATCTCTCTCCCCTAGCATTATTTCTTTCTTTTTACCCTAGAACCTATCGATTCGCTACCTCTAAGTCTATCGCTAGACAAGTAGACGACTCTACCTCTGAGCTAGCTATAGAATAAGTAGCACCCTCCTTATTCCAACACTTAATACCTAATACTATATACTAGGGCTTTATGTAGTATACTTAGTTACTTAGTAGTACTAAGATATACTAATTACTAAGCATCTTACAGGCGATATACGGAGTGCTTATCCGTGCCAAGGCTTAGCTTATTAAGCTAAGTCAGCTGCGCTGACACTCGCCGCAGGCGAGTGCCGACGCTCTCAACGATATTACCGTCCCAACGATATTTTTTCCTACAACCCAGATATATTATTAAATAACTACTCAACCACGCTAGTTATTATACTAATTTTCATACGTTAGTAATCTAGCACTACGCATTGACGCCCATATACGCTGTAATTGTTCGTGTATTAGTTTATAAGCTTGAAAATGCCGCTTCTTTTTTATAATTAGCATGCCCTTCATCTTTAAATATTTAAAATTAAGCTGGTTTAACTCAGCTGTAAGCTTATTTTGAACCATCTTTCGTGCCGAATAGGAGTAAATAACGTCTAATGAAGATTTGAGAATCGTACGGGTGCGTTATTGCCGTAATTGCCGTAATTGTGCGATTGAAGTTATGGTGCGTAGTTCGCTAATTGCTTAGTCTCTAGCAATAGATATATTATACGCTCTAAATAGCGTACGTTTTACGTTTTCACTAAGCTCCTCGTTCTCTAGATAAAAGTTAATATTGCGCTTAAGCGTCTGGATTGTTAGAGGCGTGTTTAGCTCTAGTGGTGGTGGTGTTCTATCTATAGTAGCGTTGCTGCTACTATCACTACTATTACTGCTAGTATCTTGATAATTAGCGTCCTAATCAGCAAAATCTCTCTGTATATTATTCTTGATGCGCTTAACATCTAATAGATATAATCCTGAGTCCCGCTAGCCTTTCTGTATCGTACAGAGCTTAAATATATAGGTGCGGATTAACTCTATAGCAGCTAAAAACTTAACCTTATTAAAAGCTGTACAGCCTGTTTAGGTTGTATAATTAATAGCCTACGCGTGCTAGTGCTTATATGGCTAGAAATAGCCTATATTAAGTAGTTAGAGAAAGTAAGATGTATATAGAGGTAGGCGATAGGTAATAATCTTATAATTCTTAAGGACTTCTAGAAACTCTTAGGTGCAGTGTGAATTAAATCCGTCGAATAAAAGCAGCTAATATACCTCTTAAGTGTGCTTCTGGCTCTGTTATACGAAGTGCTTTACCTACTTATAACTTAATTAATCGTTTGTATAGCTACTATCGCTATACGCGATAAGATAGTTGTTAGGTAAATTAGTAAAGTAGCGCTTAAGGAGTGCGTCGCCTTTAATAATAATTATTAGTAGGATAGCGTAGCCTGCAGTATTAACGCACTTAGTTATAGTTAATAATGTACGATTATTAGGCGTTGGTAAATAGACACGGCGGCGAGGCTTGAAAGTAATAACCTACTAGTCTTTTTCAATTCTAATACGAAAGCCAGTCTCGTTAAAGTTCTAGATGTCTGATAGTAGGATACTATGCGCCTAGATTAGGCTTATAAAGGTATTAAACCACTTTATAATAGAGTCTGAGTTATGCGTAAGTGCGTGATTAAGATTAAGAGATCGCTGTCGTCGTATATGGAGCATAGGTTGCCGTTTAAGCTATTATTTTACCTATCGTGAGGTTGCAGTTAGTGGAGGACTAGAACTATTATAAGCTTATTAAAGAAGATAATTAGCACACGATATAATTATAGGTAGTCGTATATAAACGCTAAGTTTATTAAGGCGTGCGATATAATCGTATAGTGCACAGTCTTGCGCCTTATTAAGCTTATACGTATTAGAGGGACGCTTAGAGCGTGTTAGGCGGCCTTTTAATTAGGCGAGTAATCGCTAGTATAGAATACTATATTTACGCGTAAGCTGCTTAAAATTGGGCTTTGTAATATCTTTCATAGACTCTAAGATCTCTTTAATACGATTGTTAATTAAGGTCTATAATGTTATAAGTAATAAGAAGAATTCTCTCTTTAACAAATAATAAGATGGCTGAAGGCCTAGGGACGTCCACGTCAGAAAGTAATAATTAACGCGGGGCGTTAATCACGTGACTTAGCATCCCGCTAAGGTATAGTCTCTAGGAGGCTATTATATAAAGGGAAGCTAACGTCCTTCTAAACCTCCCACTAAGATAGGATGTCGGGAGAATAGGACTGGAAGTAATAAGGATATAAAGATAGATAGATTTTATTATTACTCTCGTTATAGTTAACTTAAATTGTACTTTCTTACTAGTATCTTTACTTAATAAGATTATTACCTATTAGTCTATAGTAATATAGATTAGGATTATTAAACTCTTCTTAAGTACGCTAACTCTACTACATCGCTAGATAATTACCTTACGGAATACTAACGTAATACTTACCTATCTTAGTGCGGACTAGAATAGAGAAGTATAGACCCTTACTCTATATAACACTTTAACCACCCACGGATCTAGTAGAAGAAGGATTAACTAGTAGTATCCAAATAAGATTAAACTATATTAGAAAATTTAAGCGAATACGTTTATATCCTAGGCTCAGTACCTAAGAGAGATATTAATATAACTAGTAGTACCTAAGAGAGAAATAACGAGCTAGCGGTAGGGAGCCCTAAGTACGAACTCATTAATCTTAGATGTAAGAGCTAAGCCTAAGTATAGTAGATAGCTAAGTTATAGAATATGATTAACTAACTTATAGGTTAATTAATAGCTACTCTAAATAAGAAACTACTTAAGAAGCTAAAGATAGTAACCCTAGAAAAGTACGAAGGGAGTCGCACTAAGTTATAGATATTTCTTACTAACATTAACTTATATTATGAATTTAATAAAGTATCTAATAACTAGGAGAAGATTCTTATAGCTAGCACCTATATAAAGGGACGAGTGTTAAGCTAGATACAGCTATACGTAGAGGACTACCTATTAGATATTAAAAAAAGAGGAATAAAGGACGAGACGCGTGCCTTATTCACTAGTTAGGCTGAGTTTAAGAAAGAGATAGGATATATCTTTAGGGAAGTAGATACTTAGAACTAGGTAGAGAAAGCGATAACTCACCTAAAGTAGACTAGTTTAGTATTAGCGTATATAGCTAAGTTTAAGTAGCTATAAGTATGAATTAACTAGAACGACGTAGTACTTCGAACGGTGTTCGAAGTAGGTCTAAAGAAAAATATTAAAGATAGACGTATATATTATAATAAACTAAATACGCTTTACACGCTAATTAAGTTAGTAATACGCATTAATAATAGACTATAGAAAAGAAACTAATAAAGAAAATAATCCTAGCTAGTAATAGCTAACATAAGGAAACAGCGTAGCTAGTTTAATAAGGATAGCGATACTATTATAACTAGTAAGGTATAAGATAAGTCTAAGAATAAGAATAAGAAACTCTAAGAATAGTATAATAACGAACTCTCTATAAAAGAACGTAAGAAGCGTTATAATAGTAAGGTATATCTCTAATATAGTAAAGTAGAACACTTCCGTAGAGATTATCTAAAAAGTAAAGTTAGATAAGAAGTAGTTAAGATTAGGATAATTTAGATACTAATACTATACCTAACTAAGAAACTAGACGAAACTCTTAGTAATCTAGACCTATACAAAGAAGTAAGATAAGCTACTAATAAGGCCTTTAAGCTAGTATAAGAGGTAATAGAACTCTAAGACTTTAAGTAGGACGTACTACTACTAATAGATTAGTAGGTTAAAGGGGTAGAAGTACTATACTGCCTAAAAAACTAATAGTACTAGATTTATAGAACTAATGTATACTAAGCTAATAATTATAATATTAATAGATAAGTTATAATCTTAGGACTCTAAGTAGATAACATTACCTATAGAGCTGCCTAGAAATAACCTAGGTTTAAGAAATCTAATAATAAGGAGACACCTTAGACGTTTAAGAAATAAATAGAGTAACACGAGCGCCTATATTAGGTTAACTACCTAAGATAGTATAAATACTACTTAAGAAAGCGAGAAGAGACTAGAGATAACGAGGATAATTACTACTATACTAATCTATAGTATAATAAGTATTAAGTATAATATTACTATATATACTAGTCTAGAGAAAAGGAAGCTTATAAAGAGCTATACTAGATTAAGTATATAATTAATTACTAATTCTATAAGAAATAATAATAGAAAGCTAGAAGAGTAGATAACTACTACTATAGCATAATTTCTATAGAGGAATATATAGTAAAGAACAATAGAATATATAGGGCCTAAGTATAGAAAATACTAGTAGAGTATAGTAAACTCCTATAGACGCATTATAGGAAAGGTTGCGCTATATACTAATAATAGTTTAAGAATACTTAATAGGTAGATAACTACTACTATAGCACTCTACTAGCGAATATTTATAAGATAATGGATTATCTAATTTATAAAAGTAGAAAGCTAAAACTAAGAAAGAGGACTATATAATAGAAGATACCTTATAAGAATATCTATTAGAGCTTCTACTATAACGACTAGTATATAATATACTATTCTGCTAAGATAAGCAAAAGCTACTTTCTAAAGAAGAAGGGAAGTAGGTAGTTAAAAAACTAGAATGCTACTAGGGATAGAGTCACGCTAGTAGAGGTAGTTCTAAAACGACTCTTAAGTAAGTATAGAAAGTAGAAGTAAAAGAACTATAATTAAAAGCTATAGTACTTATAGACAGGTATAAGATGTTAGCGCTTATAGATAGTAGAGTAGCACGAACTATTATATCTCTATAAGTAGTAGAAGGAAATAATATACTCTATTAGAATAAGAAGGTACTAATACGAGTAGTACTAGCCGACGATAGTTCTATAATATACGGAAACAGCTAAATCTAACTTAAGACTAAGGTAGTAACGTTACGCCTAGCTAGTTAAGAAAGCTAAGAAAAGATTAGTATTATAGATCTTAGAGAGACTAAGATAATAATTAGCTATAATTAGTTATTAAAGTATAACCTTACTATTAATTAGTAAAAGAAGATATTACTTAGCTAAGAGCCTATATATAAGGTTGCTAGAGTACGATATAAGACACGCCTAATAAATTAGTGCGTAACCTCGAATAAGAGATTTAGTATAATCTTACTATATAAGATCGCGAGAATCTATACAAAGAACCTTTAGAGCATAGAAGTTATTTAGATACGGTAGATTATAACTATAAAGAAAGAATTAGTACTATAGTTAGCGATTCTAATAGAATTCTAAACGGACGAGTTTAGAGAACTATTTAAAGAAAATAAGGTAATAGACCTAGTAGACTATTAGGATTAGAATCACAAAATTATCCTTAATAAAGGAGCTAAGTTAAGCCTAGGACTAATATACCTTATAGCGCCTAAGTATAATGCTAAGCTATAGGATTATATCTAAAAAAACTTAAAAAAGGGATTTATCTAACTAAGATTAGACCTAATAGCCTTACCTATCTTATTTGTAAAAAAACCTAATAGAAAGTAGTAACTATATATTAACTTCAGAAGGTTAAATAGCATAACTTAGAAGAACTAATATCTCTTACTACTTATTATAGAGCTTATAGATTAACTCTAGAGAGCTAAGTAGTTTATAAAGTTTAACGTTTAAGAAGGATTTTACTAAATTAGAATTAAAGAAGGTTATAAGTAGATAACAGCGTTTAAAACGAAGTATAGACTCTTTAAATATATAGTTATACTATCCAGATTAACGAATACGCTAGCAACCTTTTAATTAGTTATTAATAGCGCACTCTACGAATACCTTAGAATCTTTATTACTACGTATCTAGATAATATACTAGTATACTTTAGCAGTATACGCAAAGAATATATTAAGTATATTAAGAAGGTTCTATAAAAGCTTAAGGAATATAAACTATACCTTTAACTAGAAAAGTATAAATTTTATATATAGGAAACGGAATTCCTTAGATTTAATATATTAATTAAAGGAGTAAAAATAAATCTAAAGAAGATATAGACTATATAGGAATAGCTAACACCTAAAATAGTTAAAGATATTTAATTCTTCTTAGAATTTGCGAATTATTATTAAAAGTGTATTAGAGATTACTTAAAAATTATAGCACCTCTTACAGAAGTAATAAAAAAGAAAACAGGTTTTAAATAAGAATAAGAATATTAAGAGGCTTTTAATCAAATTAAGTAGATATTTCTAGAGGCGCTAGTACTTAAGATGTATAGCCCTTAATAACCTACTAGAGTTAAGACTAACGCGTCTAACTATACACTTAGAGCTATATTATTATAGTAGTACCTAGATAGAAAATAGAGACTAGTATTCTACTATTTATAGAAGTTCTCTAGAGTAGAACTTAACTATAATATTTACGATAAGAAACTACTTAGAGTAGTAAATACCTTTAAATAATAGGAAGTGTATCTATTAGGACTCTCTAAATAGATTAAGATTTTACTAATTACTAGAACTTAATAAGTTTTATAATAATAAAAAAACTTAACTAATAATAAGTACGATAGATAGAGACACTAGCCTAGTTTAACTTTAAGATTACGCACTGCGTAAGGACGCTTAATAGAGTAGTAAACGCTTTAAGTAGAAGGTCTAATTTACGCGAAGAGGGTTATAAAGAACTATATAACGCCTTACTTAAGATAATACCTAATAGTAGTCTAAAGTATAACTAGCTAGAACTAGCTAAGGTAGCTAAAGTAGCTAAGTAAGTAGAAATACTTAAATAATAATAGTAGGAAAAGGTAATGCTATAGTAGTAAATACTAGAATACCCGCTAGAAGTAATAAATAATAGAAGAGAACTTAGAGCTCTAAGAGAAGGTATATAGACATACGTACTCTCTTATATAAGAGCTGAACTTATTAAGATACTATATAAGTTCCTAGAATATAGATATATAGTAGTAGACGAAATAGTTAGGTAACTAAAAAGAATATTTAAGATACTACGCTTATAAGCGAAGGTGCAGAAAATACTAGGCAACTATTTAGTATATTACTAGAATAAGTCTAAGAGATATAAGCTCTACAGCCTATTATAATCTCTATAGCTACTATTTAGATTATAGATAAGTATAATAATAGACTTTATAGTAATGCTCCTAAGATTATTAGAACTAAGATTAGCTTAATTTTACAATATAATCCTAGTAATCGTAGACTAATTAACTAAGATAGTAAAATTTATATCTATAGAAGAGACTATTATAGCAGATAAATGCGTATATAAAGTAACTAAAGCACTAGTATTAGAGTATAGAATACCTAAAGAGTTTATTACTAATCGTAATAAACTATTTACGTCTAAATACTGGAGTATATTTCTAGTAAAGTTAGGTATTAAGAAGAAGCTTTTAATAAGCTTTTATCTAGAAATAGATAGCTAAATAGAACGAATAAACTAGATATTAGAATAGTATCTATAGATATACGCTAATAAGTTATAGAATAACTAGATAGAACTACTACTAATAGCATAATTAGCCTATAATAGTATAAAATTAGTAATAACGAAGTATTTACCATACTACGCGAACTATAGATATAAGCTAATGTTACAAGTAACAAAAAGGATTCTCTCCTTGACAAATGACGAGATGGCGGAAGGCCTATGGACGTCCACGTCAGAAGGTAATGATCAACGCGGGGCGCTGATCACGTGACGTGGCATCTCGCCAAGGCAGGACATCTGGAGATGCCAGACCCTCAGGAGATGCCAGGACATCAGGAGATGCCAGGACATCTGGAGATGCCAGTAACATCAGAGATGTCAAGGGCTTAGCCAGATGTCAGGACTAGAAGCAATAAGAATATAAAGATGGATGGATTTCATTATTTACTCTCGTTGTGGTCAACTCAAATTATACTTTCTTACTAGTATCTTTACATAACAAGATTGTCACAAGTTAGTCTATTAAATAGATTAGTCTTGTCAAACCCTCCTTAAGCACGCCAACTCCACTGTATCGCCAGACAAGCCTCACGGAACACTAACGTAATACTCACCTGCCTTAGTGCGGACCAGGATAGAGAAGTATAGACCCATACCCCGTGTAACAGCTAACTATTTATTAGAATCTAAAGAATATTAAAAGTATTATAGTAGAAGTAGATAATAAAGTAAAGCTTATATAAGAATTGCACAAAGAATCAAGTAAGAATATAGCTTAATAAAACCTTATAACATCTAAAGCAGCGAATAAGTAAAGAATTAAGGAACTAACCTTTAAGAAAGGGGACAAAGTTTTCCTATTAAGATAAAATCTAAAAACTAAACAACTATATAGAAAATTAGACAACCTCTAAATAAGACTATTTAAAATCTTAGAGGAAATAGAAAAAGTAAACTATAAGTTAAAACTCCTATAAAGTATACAAATCTACTCTATTTTTTATAAGAAACTTCTAGAACTAGCACCTCTAGATACTAAGCTAGTAATAAATATAGAGCTTAAAGACGACGAGTATAAGATTAAAGAAATTAAGAACCTATAGAAAATTAGTAGTTAGTAGAAGTACTTAGTGAAGTAGTAAAGATAGCTTAAGAGCTATAATACTTAGGAATCTAAAGAAAACCTAACAAACTATAAGTTACTAGTACGTAAATACTACTAGAAGCACCTAGAGAAGCGAGGGGAAGCCCCTTAAAAAGGAAGAAGTAATTAAAAGAAGGATTAAAAGAATTAGCCTATAGCTAGCCTAGATTAGTTAATAATTTAGATAGCGATGGTTCGATAACAGAAAGGCCTATACTACTAAGAGCTAAGCTTCTCTTAGCCTACTCTTTCGCGTAATTCTATAGACTTAAGATAGCATAATTATAATTAGCGTACGACCGCTTAAGGGCCTTAGTCTTAGTAACCTCTAGACGAAGACGCGTAACTTCGGCCTCAGCCTATAGAAGAGCTAACTGTTATTAACGCTTATCTACTTTTATCTTTTCCTACTTCTTCTTAGTTATAAATAAGCTATATTTAGCTTTTATAGAAATATAACTAGTATAACGCCTAGTAGCGGTATTTATAAAATAACGAAGGTCCTTCTCTTTATAACGTTTATAACAAAAAGTTATTTCATTCTTCTATAATTAAATACAGTTAGTATAAGCCTAACGCTATTAGGTTAAGTTCTTAGAATAAATATAATAGAAAGACTAGACCTTAGGCATAGTTAGGAAGGCTACAAGGTAGAGACGGCTATAATAAGTGGGCGGGCTCTAACCTTATATACAGCCAGCGTCTTAACACGCAGTATAGGAAAATAATACTCTAGAGTATTAAGATAATAACTCTAAGAGAGGAGGTAATATTATAAGTAATAAGAAGAATTCTCTTCTTAATAAATAACGAGATAGCTAAAGGCCTAGGGACGTCTACGTTAGAAAGTAATAATTAACGTAGGGCGTTAATTACGTAACTTAGCATCCCACTAAAGTATAGCCTCTAGAAGGCCATTATATAAAGGGAAGCCAACGTTCTTCTAAACCTCCCGCTAAGATAGGATGTTAGGAGGATAGGACTAGAAGTAATAAAGATATAAGGATAGATAGATTTTATTATTACTCTCGTTATGGTTAACTCAAATTATACTTTCTTACTAGTATCTTTACTTAATAAGATTATTACCTATTAGTCTATAGCAATATAGATTAGAATTGTTAAACTCTTCTTAAGTACGCCAACTCTACTGCATCGCCAGATAATTACCTCACGGAACACTAACGTAATACTCACCTACCTTAGTGCGGACCAGGATAGAGAAGTATAGACCCTTACCCCGTGTAATATATAAAGCTAATTATTATATTAAAGTAGAAAATACTTATAAGAAAAAAGATGTCAAAAAAAGACAAACTACTTTACCTTTTTTAATCACTGGTTTAATGTGAGGTATTAGGCAATTCTGGATATAGTAATAACTAGAGTGAGGAGTATTAGATATAGGCGTTTTTATAACGACTATATCTGATCTTCCGCCTATCCAGGTCGCTGCCCAAATTTAAATAGTTATATCCCGAGCTATTTTAAAAAGTATAAATAGTAATAAAATATAAAACTATCTTTATAATATTAAAACTTATTTAAATAATATAATAGAATAATAAAAAATTAAAATAACTTACTAGTATTTCTAGTAGAAACTAGATTTCTACTAAGCCGTTGATTTCCTCGTTTTCTAAAGTATTCTGAACGAGATTCGTGTCCCCGTTGTACTCCACACTTATCAGAATAGATAGTCTTAGTATAATCTTGATTAGTAATCTGAGCTAGGCTCTCCTTAGCCTGTACTAGTCTCTTTTAGGCTTTTTTAGCGTTTAAAATTGGTTTTTTTGTCGATTTATTTAACGTCCAACCTTCAGCCTTTAAAACCCGTTGAAGCGTTCTAGTTGAGATATCTAGATTATTTTCTTTTAATAATCTAGAACTTGTTTTCTTAGGGCTTCTAGTTATGTCTCTATTAATAACTCTTTTAGCTCTTATAGAAAGCTCTAGATTTCTTCCTCTTTTAGCTCGTTCTTAGCAGATTTTTATATTTTTTTTCTTTTTAATCCGTCGAATAGCGTCGTAGATAGATTATGGTTTTTTTTGGAAATAATTTGCAATAGATTAGATTGGGATTTTAGCTTGCAAAAAATGGTCAATTTCAGCTTCAAACTTAGAAAATTTCGAATCCATAGTAGAGAAATAGAAGAAAAGAAGGTATATAGTAAGAAGATATTAATTTATACTATAATGTTACTAATAAATTAGTCAGATATAGCTTACGTAATCAACCTATTAAATTATAAATCTTCAGCTTTTAAAAGATATATATTAGCTATATCTAACTAAGGTACATATATATAATGATTATATAGTCTAATATACTATATATAGAAACTATAGTATAATATCTATTTAATAAAAAGAAATTACTATTTTTAGTTCTTAGTTTTTTTTCTCTTATATTTTTGGTTTATTTTAGCTAACAAAAAGGCTGACTTACAGTCACTTGACTACCCTATACTAAACTAGGACATATTGGCTTTAAAATGCATTAACCCGTTTTAGGATAGTTTTTCTAGTTATTAAGTAATAAATGTTTAAAAACGACAACTTTTTGGATTTGGACTTTTTTTTGTCACCCCACTGTAAGAGATATAATTCATGATCTAGTTCTGCATGACGTCCGAGTATGTCCTATAGTGTGGCATTTCGTGCACGTTGGCGGCGCGCGCTGGCGTCGCTCACCAGTCTGGTTCTGGTCACTGCCTATAACTAACCTTTCTGCCTCTGTAGTAAGCTGCTGAGCCTGCTGCACCTGAAGCACCCCGCTAGAAGCGATATATTAACGGCGCCGGTCTTGCTTTTATTGTTGGCGCTTATTAACTGTACGTAGCTTCTTATTCTTCTCTGTAAGTATTGTTGCTGATTGTATTGTAAGCTGAGCGCTCTTAGTAAGCTAGCGTATAGTAATGCTTATTAGACTCTCTGACTGCTGGTGTAGTCGCTCCTAGAGATAGTGTATCTGCTGCTAAAGCTGAGCTACTGTATGCGGTGTTTCTGCCTGCGTTATAGCGTTATTATCTATAGTTATCTATAGTAGAGACGGCGTGCGGACAACTATAAGCGACGATAGGACACGCTCAGGATAGAGAGGGACAAGGCCTGTCGCCTAAAAGCCTGCCTGGATATTCTGCTGCGTGAAGACTCTCGGCCAGATCTATGTATAGATAGTAAGAAAGTCTATCTTATTAACGTGGTGGACGCCTTAGCGGGCGAGCTCCTCAATCTCACGCCCATATGCGCGCTTAAGAGGCGAGAAGCAGCTTATATTAAGCGGCTGGAGGAGATAAGACGTATAAGGCGGCATGCAGAGAGTAATAATCTTGCTCTCAGTATAGTACTGGTTGAATTCTAGTATAGCGTGGCTGCTATAGCCATCTAAAATAAGAAGACGATAGACTTCAGCTATACGAGACGCTGTATGTCGGTTAAAGTGCTTTACCTACTCTACGCTAAGCTCGTCTGTTATCTAGCTATTATCTAAGACGCCGATAGTCTATTCTAATAGGAGGTCGTAATACCAGCTACTCTAGTGGACTTTACCACACAGGATTATAAAAGGTGGAAGAGACCAGCCAGACGCGTTAACGCACTTAATTACTATTACCCACTCACGATTGCCTGGCTGTACAATAACTGCCCAACCAACTCTATTAGAGCTAGTTACGACTTTCGACGTTGCAGCGACGCCCATAGCGAATCTAGTCTCATTAAAGTTGTAGATATCCTGGTCTAAGACGCCGTACGCCTAGCGCGTCTCCTCTACTAGCTTAAACCACGCTGTAATTGCGATAGGATCCTTATACCGGGCGCGCTGGCTATAGAATCTTCAACTCTACTTTGTCTAAAGCTCTAGCTGGCTCTGGATAAAGCGCGACACCCAGCATTTACCTATAGATAGTAGAGGTGGATTCTAGCCACGCGCGGCGAGTAGAGTGTCTGCTATTTATTATACGTTAATAGTATGTAGTGGAAATCCACGTTAGTTAAGCTCTAGTATCCACTAAATAAGAGACTGCTCTTTAATAAGTAATAGCTTACGCCTAGTAGACGCAATCTCTAACCGTGGCTGGACACCGCAGAGACGCGTCTAGAGTGTTAATTTTAGCACGTTATACGCTTTCGCAAGAGAGTAGATAGAACTTTTTAGATTATTATAATAGGATGCGATAGCAAGGCTTAGTCTACCCTCACAAGAAGTCTGTATAGAGCGTTATTGTCGCGGCATTATAGTGGTAGTATAGAGCGTCGCGTTAATTTTGGTGGGGCGGCTAGCTTACTAATACGGCCAGCTTACTGATAGAACACGTTAACGTGTTAGATCAGTAAGCTGGGCAGATCAGTAAGCTAGGCACCCCAAATCCCACACAAAATGGCCAAAACGGCATGTTAAGATCTTAACCACGCCTGCTTTGTCAGATAGCCTGGCCTTATATAGAACCTTTTATTACTCTAAGAAGGTCTTATGTAGAGTATTAAACTACAGAACCTAGTCTATCTGTAAATATTGCATTTTATGGAAGATTTAGAGGCTAAAAGTTTGTTTCTTAGAAACTACAAATGGGAGATATCCTATAAACTAGAATATGCTTCGTAGTAGCGATAAAACATTATATACAAGGCCTGGCTATCTAATAAAGTAGATATGGTTAAGATCTCGACATGCCGTTTTGGCCATTTTGTGTGGGATTTGGGGTGCCCAGCTTACTGATCTGCCCAGCTTACTAATCCAACACGTTAATCAGCTAATCTCTTACATAATCCGGGTGCTCGGCACGATACTCAGATTCTTTAGTCCACCAATCCCTAAACAATTTATCTATCTATTACGTCTATAGCTACGTAATCTACTACTAGATAGATTCTTCTAGAATCTAGTACAGCTAATATATATAGTAGTAGAATAGCTAGTAGATAGAAACCAGAGCAGATTACAAGAACAGACCAGACTACTAGATCAGATTTGTAACGATGTTACAACTTCGCCATGTATCGGACCAATCCCAGAGCCGGATCGGAGGTAGTACTCGCCGCCCTCTTCATCAACCACTCGTTGTGAGGTCGGATCCGATTCGGATCCGACTAAGATAAGTATATAAGGAGACACTCCCTGTAGCTAGCTCTGTAGACTTTTGATATCCTTTCGTACAAGGCCTATAGGTGTCTATTCGAATTAAGGCTCGTTTGATGTCCCACGCACTCCCATATGCCTCTGAGTGACACTACCGCCGATACTGATCCGAGTAGTCTTGCCTGCGCCGTTACAAGATTAATCTAATTCTTATCTCTCTTCCCTAGCATTATTTCTCTCTTTTCACCCTAGAACCTATCGATTCGCTACCTCTGAGTCTATCGCTAGACAAGTAGACGACTCTACCTCTAAGCTAGCTATAGAACAAGTAGCACCCTCCTTATTCCAACACTATATACATTAACTCTACTAGCGTAAGAGACTGCTATATAGAAGCTAAAAACGCTGTGTAACGCGCGTGAATTAGAAGTATAGACTATACTTGTTTAAAACTATATATAAATCTAGTAAAGGTCTTCTATAACTTCTCTAAAAGAGTAGATATAATAGTTAAATAAGAGAGCTTAGTAGATTACTTATTATATAGTATTAGTATAGGAGGAAATAAGTTACCTGTAAGACGCTATTAAAGTATTAATAAAGCGAAAAACTCATAAGCGGCACTATATATAGATAGAGAGGTTCTAGATAGTTAATTAGGTAGCTAATTAGATCGCTAAGGTAGAAAGTAGTAGCTATAATAATAGTATAACGTCTATAAAGAGAGTGCGTAGTAAACGGCACTGCGGGCGTTATAGCCAAACTAGATATAAGTCTTATACTTACTAAGTAGAATTAGAGAATATAGAGAATAGCGACGCGTCTAATAAATAATATCTTATTCTACTTAATGCTATAAATTGTAGTAGTGTTGCGCAATACTAGTATAAAGATGTAATGGTATAGGGAGGTGGCCGAATTACTGGGGTGGCCGAGCCACTGGTGAAACACGTTATATTCAATAAGGAGCTATCTTTTGTACTTACGTAGTGTTTATTGATTAATTAGAGAAAGGTTATACTAAAGTATCTAAGCGCGTCATCTAAGCGCTGCTCAGGCGGTGAGAAGAATCCAGGTGCTCTGGGTGACACCTGGATTCTGCGCTCGTCATCTGAACATAGTTCGGATGGCGCGTACGCAGCTTAAACCGAGATCTCATCGAGGAGCTATCCAAAGGGCGTTCAGCCCGTTACATCACCCCCTGTATATAGTTAGATGATCGACAGCCTTGTTTCATTTTCCTCCTACACGAACTCAGAGACAAGTATTTTTGTTATTTAGTCATGTAAAGGTTGGTCAAAAAGTAGACTGATGGATTTGGCAAAGAGTCACTGATGCTCATGCAAATTAGGTCAAGTGAATAGTGCATCAATGAAGCAAGCATGAACAGAAAGTAGGAGGGTCGGATTCAGCCACCAACGTAATTTGACAATCGATACACCAGGACGACATCCCGTAGGCATTCCGCGGAGCATGGACACAGCACGGAAATTGAGTGAACAAGCCCTCAGCGTCACCTTTGCTTGGACTATGGTCGCTTATGCATGAATTCTGTAGGATTTTCAATCGCAGATGCAACAGATTTGGCAAATCTTCAAATGGGGTTTTTTTCGTAGAGCTTCCAAAGCGTTACATAGGGTTCCTGTACGACATCTAGATCAAAAATCTAGCAGAAGTCTAGTTTTCTGCATCTTATCTGTTTTCAAATAGTATGCACTTTCAAGATTTCGATTCTCTCACAACGACATTAGCGAAAGCGCGGTGTGGAGACCGGATTATGTTTGGCTCAGATTAGCCGCATACACAAACACGTGGGTACGATGCGTTGCCGTTTGAGAGGAATTTTGTGGAATGGTGCAACGGTGACAAGAAGCTGGCTTAAAAGGCCTTTCGCGACAACGCTCGAGAGCTATGGTAGGCACCCAGTTGACTTAGTGTTTCGTCAAGGGTCTAACTGAGTCACTTTGTTCTTTCTAAAGTAGTGATAGAAATTGGCCTGGGCTTGGATTGGGATAGTATCGATTGTGCTAGAAATAGAAAGAAATCTATTAATCTATAATAGTACTAAGACTATGTCTGAACTCTATCAAAAGTCTTAGTGACTCTTCTCCACCCCTATCTAACTCCTCGCAACTCTCAAACATCTCTACTACTGCTGACTCACTACTGTAGACAGAGCTGCATTTCTAGGCGGTGCCGTTGTAGGAAGTGTTAATGTTTCGGAGCCTTGTGGTAAGTGTCTCGATAGTCTTCCTATGGCAGCCATCCTGGACTGGCACACCGTTGAAGCGGTCCTGAATCCACCTCATGAAATCAACCATTGGTGCGTTGTTGTTAACGTCGTGATTCGAATCAGGGTAAAGCAAGAGGGTAGCCTTAGAGTTAGGGAAAGATGAGCAAGTCTGGTTGAAGTCCCATTCGGTGTTGTTGGCATAGGTAAGTGCATCAGTGATACCCTGAACAACTAGCATTGGCGCAGCGAGGGCATGTGGTCCGGCGCCATTGAAACGCTTCTGCCAGTCGACGACTACGGGAAGCTTAAGCCAGTCAAGGCTCTTAAATAGCTGCGCGCTAGTCAGGCCTGCAAAGAGTGATCGGCCTGCAAAGATACAGCCTTGGTTGACAAGAGGAACTCGGGCTAGCGCAAGGGGTGTAAGGTGATCCTCAATACGAAACTCCTTGGGGAAGAGACCAGCAAGCGACTGCAAGAAGAAGACGGATACCGCATCACCAATAGGTCCGCCATTTGCTCGTCGGACAGATTCAGGGATCAAGTCGAGTGGACGGAGCGCTGGTGAGTTTGCGACTGAGCCAAGAAAGTTGCCTGCCTTCTTGAGTTCGTCTTGGTCGGGCATTGCAAGTCGCTCATTGGTTCTCCATGCAGTCATGCCGCCCTCGCTGTGGCCGATGACAACATAATCTTGAGAAAGTAGGGTTCCAATAACTTTGCGGGCAGCGACAAGGCTGTAAGCAACGTCGGCGGCGTGCAGAAAGCCAGCCTCGTACATAAAGCCCTGAGGGATATCGGATCCCTGACCAGCGTAGTCTGGAGCGATAACGGCATATCCAGCTTGTGCCAGGTAGTAGGGTCCCTGCCACTCGTAGTACAGGTCTTTATGATTGGAAGGCGCACAGTTTCTCGTGAACCCTGCTGTACCGTGTGCCCACACAATAGTGTTTAACGGCTTGCTTGGATCGGGCCTGCTGTAGGGTAGAAGGACAAATCCACTGGCTGGAATAGGCTTTCGGTCGATATCTTCGGTCATATAGAGGAAGCGGGAAAGAGACATTCCAGAAGGTATAGTAAAGTTGGTGTTTACTACGGACTGAGGGAAGTCCTCCCATCGCAACACATCACCAGGTTTGGCACCGGTGACATTGGCAGGCGTGCTGTAGAACGCTTCGGAAGATACGTTCTTTGAAACCATAGAGCCAATCTCGGCCGCAACAGCTGGTCGAAACGCTGCTTGACATGCGGCATTGCAAGATTCCTGAGCATGGCCGAGAGTGGCCTGAAGGCCGAAAAGGGAGAGAGTAGAAATCTTCATAACAGAAGAACGAAGGGAAAAAGCGAGTGTTGTGTTGGTGTTCCGGAGCAATTCAGATACCGAGTAGTACGAGAGATTGACAGAAAATAGCTGGCTGAGCTGATGTGATATCATTCAAAAGCTGTTAGGTTGTGCTCTTTATATACATTTCAATCGTCATTCTTACAATGATTACATATTTTGGTGGATCTGCTCAGGAGGCTCTAGTGACTGTGCAGCGTATAGCGGAAAGACATGCTGTATCCAGTTAGTAGGACTTGGCATCATTAGTCATTAATGCGTATAGACATCTATTCGTCTGTGCATAGTACTTTTCTCACATACGCACGCCGAATTCGATAAAAACAGAACGGTAGGATATCGATAGGACCGAAAGTGTAGGACGTGGCCTACTTTCCAAGAACGCCAAGCTTCTGTGGAAGTGAAAAATAAACTTTAATCCCAAGGATCTGTCCCTGATTGTCGATTGGCTTAGGGTAAGCTTTTATTTGTAGAAGGATACATGGCGTACTACACCTTCTTACACAAGACAGAACATGCAGGGGCTTGGTTGGGTCATTATGGGGGTGGTTTGGGATATACCAGTCCAAATCTGCTAGCGTTTTGCTCACAAACAGAGAACAGCTTCTCCTATTTTGTCTCTTGTCGTAACGCTTTAACTATGCTTTTCTTGGCTCAATCTCCAGGTGATTGTAAATAAAAATGTTCAAGCGCACACTGCTCCCTCGCAGGATGTCGCAAAAACTCGTAAGAAAATGGCTGTGAAAGA